TTGGGCTGAATTCTCAGTGAATATAACTTTTCTCTGTCTCTTCAATTCTTAAAAAAATACATCAATCATATATAATACTGACAGAAAGGCTTCCAAATATCCCTGAGCAAGCTAAAGTTTGTAAGAAATTAAATAGAAAATAGAGAAATGTTTATTTTATCACTGAGAAATATAGATTTTAAAAGGGTTGCACACATGGAGTAAAGATGGAGGAAAAAAGGTGAGGTTTTTAATCCTTCCTCTTCCTTCTCCTCCTTGCTTCTGCAGTTTTTAGAAGCACAAAGAATGATTGGTTTAGAATTAGTTGCACTTTTAATTATGTGAGTAGATATATTTGTTGAGATATAATAACAATACACGTGTCTGTAGTTAATAGGGTAAAAATTGGTATAAAAGTGAAAAGACAGCGTGGCTTGGGGGAATTTTGTATCATCAGAAGGAAATGAGCCAGGCTGTGGTGATTTAGGCTTGTGCCAAGTTTTTGTAAGGATCCTTCAATAAAGACAAGAAACCAGAATCTAATGAGGCTGGGAGTTTTCTTTTAATAATAAGGAGATAAGTGGGATTCCCCACGAGGGAGGATCCCAGGGGAATTCAGCCCAAAGGAGGCTGAGAGGAAAGTTATATTCACTGAGAATTCAGCCCAAAGAAGGCAGAGAGAGAGAGAAAAGTTATATTCACTGAGAATTCAGCCCAAAGGAGGCTGAGAGAGAGAAAAGTTATATTCACTGAGAATTCAGCCCAAAGGAGGAAGAGAAAGAAAAGTTATATCCACTGAGAATTCAGCCCAAAGAAAGCAGAGAAAGAAAAGTTATATCCACTGAGAATTCAGCCCAAAGGAGGCTGAGAGATCAAAGTTACAGACTGGAGCTCAGGGTGGCACCAAGATGTGTCCAGGGGGATTCTCAGCCCAGTTCTCCTCCCGCTGTTCCCCCTCTGCTCCCGCGGCCGGAGCGCGGTGCCCAACGCGGATTTACCTGGGGGTCAGAGCTCTCCACACCGTCCCTTCCCCACGGCTCTGGGGCAGCTGGGGCTGTGCAGGCAGGATTTGGGATTTGGGGCTGTGCAGGCAGCAGGATTTGGGATTTGGGGCTGTGCAGGCAGCAGGATTTGGGATTTGGGGGTGTGCAGGCAGCAGGATTTGGGATTGTGCAGGCAGCAGGATTTGGGGGTGTGCAGGCAGCAGGATTTGGGATTTGGGGGTGTGCAGGCAGCAGGATTTAGGGCTGTTTCAGCAGCATTTTGGCTGCAGAGCGGGGTCCGGCGGTGCCGGATGCGGTCACACTCTACGCCCAGGTCAGAGGCACCAAGGAGCGCACATGAGGTTCCATGACGCCTCCTCTTTGTCAGTGGGCTCATTTAAATATTTTGGGGTGTTTCTCTGCTGTTTTGCAGCTCTTTTGCTCCTGCACCCCTCCATCAATTCTTCCTCTTCCAGCAGCTTTGTCCCAAAATTCAGCTGATCTTCCTTGGAGCCAAGCGGTGCCGAGGGAGCTGTGCCCAGCTCAACTCAGCTGCCACCCAAACCGAGCTCGGGGTGCTTCCAAGCAAACATTTTCCATGGGGATGAAGGATTTCCACCACCTGGCTCCGTGTCTGCTGGGGGAGGATGGGCCTCCACCTGCCCGCACTCAGGACGATGTTCTGCAGCCTTTGGGGTGCGAGCAGCAGCCTGGCAGATCCCATCCTGAGAGTTCCCAGGAGGTTTGGGGAATCCTGGGCTGCTGGTTCATAAGAACTGTGGGGTTTGTAGCTCTGGAGGTGCCCTGCAGCAGCCCAGCCTCTTCCTTGGCAGAAAGAAACAAGAAATTGCCTTTTTTTCAAGGTCCCTGATGCTTTTAAACATCTCCACCAGCCCAAATCCTGTCCCAGGGGTATAACATCCCAAAGAATCCCTCTGGATTATTTAAAACAAAGATCTCAAAAAACATCACCTACCCCAGGAGCTGCATCACACATTGGGGTGACTTCCCAAATTCCCCTTCCTCCCTGGAACTGCTCCCACCATCCACCAGCTCCACCAGCACATGTTGGTCCCGCTCTCCTCACAGCTGCTGAGCCCCAGGTAAATATTTTGGGGTTTATTTAACTGAAACTCGCTTGTTTGTTGTATTTTTCTTCAGGTGAGAGTTTGCTGCTGCAGCGCTTTCAAGTGCTGGGTGGTGGATAAACAGATTAACAGGTGGGAGAAGTGTCTGATAAAGGGACTAAAAATGGGTTTTGTAGAAAACCCAGCTGATGCCAATCAGATGGGGCAGGCAGTGGCTCCCCTAAAGGAAATGTGTGAAAGGAAACACAGATAACACATTTTTAGCCTGAGAACAGGTTTTTTAAAGGAGGAAAGTGCTTCAAACAGAGCTGGTAAAAGATGTATTTTCCACCCAAGGGGAAAAACCGATTTCTGATGCACCTAAGGGCAGGTGTGTGGCCCTTCAGGGGTGGGACACAGCTGGGGACAGCCCCTGCCTGGCAGAGGTCATTCCTCTCTTACCTGGAATATTCCAGGAGCTGGGGTCACCTTTCCTCAGTTTCCCCAGAGCAGCACAGGCTGGCCCTGCCAAGCTGAGGGACACCAAGGCTTGGAAATTGGGCATTTCTTACCTCTGCCTTCCACACATTGAGGTACAGCTGAAATATGTATGAAACAAAGCCTTTTTGACCCAATTTTCTGGGCAAATCCAGCCCAGTTGCTCCCAAAACATAGGGGGAAAAAACCCCACGTTGTTCTACTTGAAATAAAAATTTTGAAGTGCCCCTAAGAGTTGAGATTTTAAAATTGCTTCTAAAATAACTCAAAAGTCGAAATAGATTTGCTTAGCTGCAAAAATTTCTAAATGAAAGGTCTGGCCTCGTTATGGCTTTCATCTTCCTATTTTAATGCTGAATCTGCTGCCAGGAGTTTGCAGATTATGATGATCCAATTGGGGAATCTTTTCCACAAAATAAAGTATTTCACTTAAAGTGTTTGGCATGTCTGTGCTGCTGCTCACCCTCATATTTATCTCCAAAGCCCAGTGACCCTTCAGGCTGGGTTTTCTGATAGGATTTTTGGGTTATAAACCATGTCTGGAACAATCCACTTGCTGTTTTTGGCTGATCTGGCACTTGCTGCAGCTGCTTTTGTTTTAGGAAGTTTCTTTCTAATCCATGAATATGTGATTAGGATGAGGAGGGAGGATGGTACATTAAACTGCTTCTCAAAAGGGGAAATAGAGAATAAATTTGTATAAAAGTCACTGGGTTAAAAAAGAAAATTGCAGCGTGGGGGAATGCAGGGAATTTTTATTTGTTTAGGAAAAACAGCTTCATTTGCCATCGGCATCAACTGTGCTGTGCCCAACATTTTCCTGCTCACATTGAGAAATATTTGATGGATTTTTTAAAGCTTAATCTGCCCACAAAGCTGGGAGTGGAGGGGCTTGGCAGCATCTCCAGGGATGGGGACACAAGATCCCGGTGACAGCAGGACGTGACTCAGCTGTCCCCAGCCACCCTTGCTACCTGTGTCTCATGGATTTAATTTCCTGGGCAGGGCTTTAATTAGATAAAATTTAATTAGATAAAACAGTCTCGCTGGGACAAATAAAAAATCGATTAGCACAGTGCTAAACCCCGTTAATCACGTGAATGGGGCTCACTGAGCAAAACACCCCCTTCAGCACCCGCCATCGGTTGTTTTAGTGCCAAAACCATGGAAAATGAGGAAAACTCAGCATCATCCCAGGCCTGGGAGATGCTGGCAGCAGGAAAACCCTCGCCTGCCCCCACTAACTCCTCCTATATCTGAAGGCTTTATTTGTTCATCAGCATTTTGTATTTGCACTCACAGAGGCTTTAATGAGACGCCCGGCCTGGCTTAAACAAAACTCACAGGGGATGAGTCCATTAGAGCCTGCAGAGCACCAGGGAGCTGTCTCCCATGGAAAGCTGCTCATTCCTGGCCTTGGGAAGGGAAAGCTGAGGATTCCCGAGTTCATCAGCACTAATTAGTCTTTGTCTTTTAAAATGAGGTTGGTGGCTGATGGTACAAACACATGCCTGCAGCTGCTGGGGTTTGGGGTACCCCATGGCCACAGGGCTGTGGGGCCAAGGAGGAGGGAAATGTTCCCCTAAAGCATTTTGGGGGGTTTCCACTGCTGGATAAGGGGCTGGTGCTGGGATGGGGACCCCATCCTGCTCCCTCTGTGGGACCTCCACTGCCCCAAAATCAGCCCAAGCCGGTCCTGCTCAGCTCCCACGGTTCCCCCAGCACCGTCCTCACCCAGAAAAGCAAACGTGACCCCGGGGTGCCCCTCAGCCTCGCCTGGGCCGTGGCCAGTGATTCATCGTGCTGCCCGAGCCCGCTGTTGACTCTGGCAGGGCCGATATGGAGGTTGGCACCGCGGGTATAAGAGCGGCACCGCGGCGCTGCCGGAGCGGGCACAGCCACCGAGCCACGCCATGAGGAGCCTGCTGCTGCTCGCCGCGCTCTGCCTGGGCCTGGCCGGAGCCCTGAGCAGGTAAGGGGGACCCCAGGGTCTTGGGGATTCCTCTCCAGGGCTGTGTTGGATGGCAGAGCTCAGCCTGGGTACCCCAGGAGAGGTGGCACCATGCTGGGATTTCTGGGGTCTCCATCCCTTTGGGCAGAGCCTGGCAGCAGCAGGAGGGGTCTGCAAAGGGGTCTGTGCAAGCAGGG